CCTGTCTCTTAATATGCCATTTTCTTCTATACAGTTGGTGGAAATGGAAAAAAATGTATGTAAAGTATATCTGATTTAATAGAATTCATAAATTAGTTTGTGAAAAAATATAGCAGAGATTTCTGTTAAGCTTCTGAAACTGTGAGGTTAACAGTCGAATAACAACTATACACTCTAAAAAAACACAGAGTTCCACACAATTGATTTGTGTTGGGATGAAATAAAGAAATTAAGTTAACTTAGTAGCTTTTACAAATTTAAGTGGATTGAACATAAAACAATTAAGTTGTTACAAAAAGAAAACATAATTAAATTGAGCTGAATCAACACAATTCTTAGCTTGAACAAGCAGCAAATGTAATTTTATGAGTGCATGTGACCCTGGACTACAATGGGGTCATAAGGGTCAATTTTCAAATCCATTTATAGATTTAGACAAATTGAATAAGCTTTCCCTTGATCTGTGGTTTGTCAGGATAGGATAATATTTGAGAAAGTGCTCGCTGCATAGCCGTTTGGGTGGAACTGCAGTGAGTACCACTTGCAATATTTGGCTGAGGTTTGAAGATATTTGAAAATCTGGAATTTGAGGGTTCAAAATATGTTAAAATAAGTCTTTATAGTTGCCTAAATAATGTGCTTAGCAAGGCATACAACGTTATATTTTGATATATTTACACAAGAAAATCTTCAAAGAAATCATTTTTTTCATGGAACATGATCTTGTAATATCTAAATATCCTAATGATTTTTGGAATATCAGAAAATAAATCATTTAGACCAGAGTTTTTGACAAAAATATACCCATGTAAAAGGTGTAAAAGGTTTTGTTGTCAAGAGTCACAATGGGCTGGTTGATATGAATTATTTTTAAAATTAAATTCACAATAATTAATAATAATAATAATTCTAATATAAAGTGATATCAATAATTAATAAGCTTATTTTCCCCCTTTTTTCTAAAAAAAGAGGGCAGATTATTGCTCTGGAGCAAAAATAGAAATCAGAAATTATGTTATTTATCATTAACAGGTGAACATTTCACATATTAATATCTGTTTTAAATCCTAGAAATCTCCATTTGACAACAGCTTGAATTGGAATGCAAACATATATACAAGTTGATTAATAAAAACAGTAACAAGAGCCGAAATATTTTAATGCTCTGATATTTTCAGTCTGATGTTCTCAGAAGTTTTTTTTTATTATTATTTGCATATCGAAAAAACAAAAACAAACAAACTTTGCAGTGATAGTGAATTTGTGGGATATGCCCTTTAGAGGTCTCTAAAACAATGCATTTTCACATTAAATGTTCACCCTTAAAAAGAAAAAATAAAATAAAATCACAGTAAAAAAGCTTAACCTTACTGAAAATACATGAAGTTGAATGCTTTCACTATCTGAATTCAACAAAGCCTGACTTTTAATATGTTCAATTTATATGTATATATGTATTTAGCAACATCTCATTCATTAAAGAAACTTATTTTCAGTGTTTTAAGGATAATGATTGGATCCTGACATTCACAGAGTTCCCCCTATTAGACAGATATCAAATTCTCTGACCTTTTTTGTGGATGTTTTGACTTCCTTCAGGGGGTGATCAAGCCTTAATTAGGGGTGTCAAAACCCTCCCAACACCCCCTGTAATTCACAACAATTACAAGATAATGTAGCAGAATGAAGTGTTTTGAACAGCTAGCAGTGTCTCATTTCTCTTCTAGTTTGTGCTGTCGGGCAGAAGAGGGTCACGGCAGGTTTGGCATGACACCCTGTGGTAACTCTGCTCAAGTGCAGCTTGTGCTCTCTAAATCAGAGACGTTTTAGATCTAGTAAAATATTTGAATCAGATCACTTCAAAGGCAGCCATACATTTCCTAATATTCTAACAAAATGTATACAATGAAAAATGATTACGTGCAGTTACATTATTGTGACAGTTTACTTTTTATTATTATACTGTACTGTGGAATTCCATATAAATTTACTTTTATTTATTTCATATAAACATTCAATTCAATTCATGTTTGTTTTGTATAGTGCTTTTTAGAATAATTATCATTACAAAAGGTGCATATCACATTACAGTGAAAATTAGAGTTAAGGTGTTGTATAACAATACAATACAGACCTTTCAATATGGCGATATCATTGTTTCATGAACCGTTCCTGCTTGTCGTCAAACTATTTTAGAACTGTAACAAGATGCGATTCAGTCACAGCTGTTATAAAAAAAGAATATAAAAATGGAGAGCTTTCTGGATTCTTAGATGCTTTGGAAATTAAAAATCTAAAACTGGAAACACATTACGACCATTGTTTACATCTCACAAAATGGTCTATGTACACATAGTTAACCTTCCCCTAATGACATGTAACGTGTGTATATATATTGGGGATGCTCTGATTGATCCAGAGAATGGTATCATGATAATCACATTTCATGACTCGATCAGTACTCACTAATCTGGTCGATCTCATGAACCAATCACAATTGTTTGTTTACGAGTTTACAAGCTGAGGACACATAGAAACTGAAACCGTTTTACATTTCAGAACTGAATGTTCTGTGTTTTCAACAATATTGTGAGTTAATTTAATCCTGGCTGCATATTGAGAAAACTTGAAAAACAATAAAACTTTTTTTTTTTTTTTAAACTTGGATATTTAATAATAAAGCTTACTGTAATATTATGTATTGTAATAAGCAGTAGTGTATGGACCTATTTCACCTTAGTAAACAAGTGATGGATTTATAAGTGTGCATTTTAACTCCTTATGCACTCCAAACTTCAGTGAAACATGTTGAATTCTTCTTCCATGATTTGCAATGCTTCCAAATTGCTTTATTAATAATTTTTCTTGCCAATTATTTTAATCGGTTTTATCTATTTTGTTCTGTTAAGTTGCTTCTGACCAGGACATGTCCACACTAAATGAGGTTTATTTATAAACTAATTTTGAGAGGATCACATGCTTATGCCTATTCTCAGCTGCTCATGCATCAGCTCATTATTGATCCTCCAATCAGATGATTCCTATCTCATTATAAATAACCAAATTTTTCTTATCTCAATACCTTCATCTCGAAAACCACATTTTACCCTTCCCTTCTCCCCCTCCTTTCCAGATGGGTGACATGGTGACCCAGTGATTAGCACTGTTGCCTCACAGCAAGAATGTCTCAGGTTAAAGTCTCTACTAAACCAGACGACATTTCTGTGCGGAGTTTGCTTGTTCTTCTCGTGCTCGCATGGGTTTTCCCAGGTTCTCCGGCTTCCTCCCACAGTCCAAAAAACACGCATCCTAAGTAAATCAAACACACCAAAATTGATACCATAGCCACGTTTAGCGAGTACACCTCTTCTCAGCCATATATATATATCTGTCATTAGCCAGAAATAAGCTGGAGGGAGTTCATCGATATCTACCTGAGCTTAAACTCCCCTCAACCTGCAAACGGAAGGGAGCCCAGGGCTCGGGGATTTCATAAGCTCAGGGCTCTCTCCCAGGATAGCATGCCAAAAGAGCTTTATTACCAATCATCAGCTAATTGTGAACTCTTGAAATGGTTATAAGTGACATGTTCAAGCAATTATATACAACATCTTTAATTTTTTCTCTGAGGTAAGGCAAGATCTCTACTTAAGTATCATACTTGGACTGAAAACATGCTTTATGTATTATAAAGCTTGAAGCATCAGAATCGGTTCTCAGTATTGGCCGATCACCATGACAAGGAATCAGTACTCCGTATCGGCTGCAAAAAATCCTGATCGAAGCAACCCTACAGTATATAGTTATATACAGTTGAAGTTAGATTAGCCCCCTGAATTACTTGCCCCCCTGTTTATATTTTTCTGTTTAATAGAGAGAACATTTCTTCAACACATTTCGAAGCATAATAGTTTTAATAACTTATTTCTAATAACTGATTTATTTTATCTTTGCCATAATGACATTAAATAATATTTTACTAGATATTCTTCAAGACACTTCAATACAGCTCAAAGTGACATTTAAAGGCTTAACTAGGTTAATTTGGCAGGTTAGGGTAATTAAGTAAGTTATTATATAACAATAGTTTGTTCTGTAGACTATCGAAAAAAAATTGCCTAAAGGGGCTAATAATGTGTACCTTAAAATAGTTTTTAAAAAATTAAAAACTGCTTTTATTCTAGCTGAAATAAAACAAATAAGAATTTCTCCAGAAGAAAAAATATTATCAGACATACTGTGAAAATTTCCTTGCTCTGTTAAACTTTATATTTAAATATATATATATATATATATATATATATATATATATATATATATATATATATATATATATATATATATATACATATATATATATATTCACACACACACACACGCACATATATTTAAATATTTAAAAAATAAATAACTAAAATAATTCTGCCATCAACTGTATGCTTTCCTTTATTACTAAAGGGTCTTCAGTTTTCAGAAAATATTTTTCAAAGTTGTAAATAAAGATTATTAGAATAGGTTTAATAAGGACGGACAATTTGAAATGGTAATACAAATTTAAAAAATTCATTTTAAATCTGTTTCAAAAGCAATTCTTTTTTACATGTATAAAAAAATGATCTATTATGATTTTGTACACTCATTTTTAATCACCAATCACCAAAAAAGTAAAGGTTTCAGTTTGAATTTTTCTAACACTTTTAGTAATGAGCTCTTCTAATACACACTGTATTAATGTTAATTAAACATCGATTTCATGCAAGTTACCGCAACACCCAGAGCCTTCAGGAAAAATATTCACACATCTGAAGAAAACTTCATTACGTAATATAGATTTTCCGTGACAATTTTGACACCGATGCCTCAGGATGGCTTTGAGAAGCTGTTAACATCTCTCAGCCCATGTTAAACACATAATTACACGTTTCATCGCCCTCCACGTTAATACATCAGAAATGAAGCAGCTCAGTTTTCATTTAGCAAAACAAACGAGACAGGGAAGATTGGATGCTTATATATTATTTATTCCTTTTAAATATTTTCCTCTTATAATATACACTTCTATCTTAAATAATACAAATGCGCTGTGCTAGATCTATTATTTCAAAGAATGCCCAGTACTTCCATGCTGCACTGAAATATATATATTTATATATTTGTATAGACACGCTCGCCCACATACACACAAACAGCCATTCATCAAAGGAGCGAAGAGCTTGGAATTGATGGTCAGTTTCGTATACAGAGGAATGAACATTATCCTCTCTCCTTATTTTGGTACACAACATGTTGTATCTGCCATCCAGAACATTCTGCTAGAGAAGTATACATTTAAAAAAAAAATATGCAAAGATTTTTTCTTTAGTTTTTTTTTGTTTTTTGTTTTTTTCACACAAACAGCGACCATTAAGGATCTACTCGACCACACCGCCAACCAAAGCAAAACGAGCTGGGCTTTAAATGTTCCGCGAAACCGCTATGGCATTAACACGTCTAAACTGGCATATCTGATGCTATGAAAAACAGAACGAAAGATCAAGATTATTTCACTTCTGCTTTTTGTATATTTTGGTCGACACTACTAAAGTTGGGCATGGGAATAGAACTATTAAAACACATAAATGATATCTTATAGCTTCATCACAATGACATAATTACTTCCGAATGATTAACATTCGCTCAAATCTCAATAAGGAATGAGTTCAGTGATTTCCATCTGAACATAAAAGTAAGACAACTTAGTCTTTATTAAAAACAAACAAACAAAAAAACAAACAAACAAAAAGGTCCTCATTTATCATGAACCCTATGAATGTGACTCACATTAAGTCTTCTTTATTTTCAGAAACAAAAGCAGGGAGGCGTGAAGGTCAGCGCAGTGCGTTTAGACAATCTTTTCGATGGGGCAACATAATAATAATACAAAAATAAAAATAAAAAAAACGAGCAGGCCGAAAAACTTAAGGTAAAACTGATACCAATCGACCGGCATTTCTTCACATAGCAGACTGGTAACTATTCAAAGGCACGAACAGACCCACATAAAACAGCGTTCTCATATCATAATTAGCAATCTTGTAACAAAACTACCATGTAGGACGAGAAGCAAAGGGCACACGTCGAAAGCAGGCCTGTGCGCGCAAGATAAAGTTTGTCCATTCACATTTTGTAACTGACGGTTAAGCGAGTTCTCCTCTCGTATCTCTTTGTACACGTACGACAAATACACAGTATTTTCCTGCATTGGAGATCAGTAGCAGGTGACATGTTTTGAACGGAGTCAGACCGCTGACTCGGCGAATGATACGTTTTTAGTGCAAACTAATGGAGCTGCGACCGTGGATGTTAAGGAGTGGCGTGATAACCTTTGGTTTGCTGGGAAGGCAGAAAACGGGAGGGGAAACTTGGTGTGGGATATAAGGCAAGTCATGACGGGTGACGGGAGGATGAAAGCTCATTACACATTGGTCAGAACGACACGTTAACCAAACGCATTCTGGAATATTTGGTCCGCCACGATAACAGTAAGTCTGTGATCCCCGACACCCTGTTTTGTGAATGACTGATTGGCCAGTGCATTTGTGGATCGATCTGATTGGTGCCTCCTGAAAGACGGAGCTTGGGTTCGATTTATCGAAAAATAAATATATTTTTTTAAACCTTCCGTCTACAGGCGATTCGTTTGACAAGGGCGCCCAAAAAAAGAGATTATTAGAGCTCTATTCCATAATTCAAGGTCATTCTTAATGTACCTGCATTAATTACTTCATCTTGTTTTTGTTTTTACACTCATTCAGCAAATATAAAAGATAACTGCAAAAATAAATACTCAAATTTATGGAGTGAAAAATCACATTTTGGCGATCGGTACCTTTGAACTCAAGGTAGTTGTGCTCACAATGTCGTCTTATAAACAGTTTAGCTTTTCTTTTCTTTTTCTTAGGAGAGCATTTATCCTATAAGGGAAAACCAAAAGCAACACCTCGCTAAAGACCTGTGGCCATCCAGTTGATTGGGCTCTGATTGTGTCATAACGTTTTGGATTCTGGTTTCAGTGTATGGCTCCATTCAGACCTACTGCAGGTTCTTCAGCAGACGGCCGTAGCGGAAGTCGTAAACGTGACGGCAGACGAACACCAAGTCGGGGTCGATGTCGTTGGGCACGCAGCGATGAGCTGGGATTACATAGCTGGAAGGAGGGACCAGGGGGCTACGTTTGGGAAAGCCCTCCTCACGACACTTCACCAAGGCACAAAATCTGAAGTAGGGAAGATATTGAGTGATTACATGAAGGATATTGGGTGATGATTTGGCTGAGCTGATCAATATGATTTCTTACCTACAGTACTGTGCTAATGTCAACACATAGCACTTATCTTCAATACACGCCACACTGTTTTCATCCTGATGCCGAGATGCGAAAATCTCATTCTGGGGGAAAAATAAAACACACAGAATCAGTATTTTATATGCAACTTAAAGGACACCTATGATGAAAATAAACTTTTGTAAGCTGTTTGGACAGAAATGTGTGCATGTGTAGTGTGTTCACTGACATATTGGAGTGATATAAACACAACAAGTCTCTTTTTTTAATTTCCTGATGTTAAAATAGGACCCAAATACTAGTGATTTTGAGGCCCAATGCAACGTGATGTAGGAATGCGGTTTTCCCCACCCACAGATTTGATTGACAGGTGCCATGTCTCCATAATAACATGTATACACATGCCCAAAGAACATATATTTTGCAAAGAAACTGGGATTAAAATATCAGTTCCAACTCTATGATTTTAATAAGTTTAAAATGTTTTTTAAAAACAGCAAGTTCGCAATAAAGACAATAAAATCTGTGTGAGACTCATCATTTCAGAAAGGCTTGAATAAATTCTACTTCAAATACATGTAATAAACTTACTTGGTATTTTTGACTTATGAGCTTTATTTCTGTCTGTCTATCACTGACAGCTGATTATCTGACGCAAGGCATGATGAAAAGCAGACACGCATGTGGGAACGGTGGGCAGGGAGAAACAGCTCATTTGCATTAAAGGCCACAGGCTACAAAAGAGCAGCCCTGTACTACAAAAGAGCTACCCCAAGGTAATAATCTGGTATTTCAAGCTGAAACTTTACAGACACACTATAGAGACACTAAAGACTTATCTTACATCTTGTAAAAGAGGTAAAATAGGTGCCTCTTTAAGCTGTAAAAAAAAAAAAAAAATATATATATATATATATATATATATATATATATATATAGTTTTTTTTTTTTTTAACACAGCTCTAGCGGTGAGAGAGGTTGAGATCAAGTGCATTAATGAAAAGCAAATAAAAAGCATCTTGAAGGGGGTGGGGCATGTCAGATACTAGAGAGCATTTGATTAATCAAGATTTGAGGTGACGTGAAAAGAACTGTTGATGTATTCATGTGGAAGTGACAAACTGCAAGCTTTACATGTTTATATCAGTTTTAAATTTTCTAAACATGATTTTTGTCACTGTTTTAGAGCACACTAGCTTATAGATATCCTTAAAACTAACAGACTGAAACTAACATCTTACATTTTTTTTTATTTCATGGTACATCTAAATGTAAAAAAAAAAAAAAAAACTCACAAAAATAAGTACTCTCAGGCCATCCAAGTTGTTTGAATTTTTTTCTTTTTTTAGAACATTAAAAGCTTTTTAAATCAAAAGGTTGGTACTAGTGGAAAGTGCAGATATGGCACAACACTTACTTCTTACTTAAGATTGTATGATGTCATCAAGTCTAATATTTATACTAAAATGTATTGTGTACTCAATCTAAATCTCATGAAAGGTGATGTCAGCTTGTCAAAAGAGGTGTTGTTTTTTTAACCAAAAAATACAATCATGGTCAGATTGCTAAAATTTTGTCTGGGTATAACATACAAAGTATACAGGCTACTAACTGCTGTTGGTAGCACTATAACTGCTATTTTGTGTTACAGTAAATTGTTGTTTATGTTCAGTGGATTAGATTTTTAGCTGAAAGCAAAATTATTAGCTAAATTAGCCAATCAGCTAAAAAAGTACAAACACATTTGTAAACATTCATTCATTTTCTTTTAGGCTTAGTCCTTTTATTCATCAGGGTTCAACACAGCGGAATGAACCAACTTATCCAGCATGTGTTTTACACAGCGGATGCCTTTCCAGCCACAACCCAGCACTGAAAAACACCCACACACGCTCATTTACACACACCGCCTATGGCCAATTTAGTTTATTCAATTCACCTGTACCGCATGTCTTTGGACTGTGGGGGAAACCGGAGCACCCAGAGGAAACCCACGCAAACAGGGGAAGAACATGTAAACTCCGCACAGAAATGCCAACTGACCCAGCGGAGGCTCGAACCAGCGATGCTGTGAGGCAAGAGCGCTACGCGCTGCCCCACATTTGTAAACATAATAATATCAATAGCTAATTTCGAATAACTCATTTCATTAGCATTTGCCATGATGATAGTACATAATATTTTAATAGCTAATTGGCAAGATTTTAGTACTGAACATAAAGGGCTTAACTTGGTAATAATGTTAACTTTTATTCAAGCCAGACTAAAAGAAATTTGAATTTCTCTAGAAGTAAAAATATTAAAGGAATTACTGTGAAAATGTCCTTGCTTTGTTAAAAATCACTTGGGAAATATGTGAAAAACTATTTATTTATTTATTTTTTTTACAAAAAGGGTAAACAATTTTGCCTTAATATTGCTGTAATATTTACATAAACTTTTAATGAATTATTTAACACAAAGATTTAAGCCATTTTTAAATGTTATCCAATATTGTTTCATGGCTCTTTTAATGTATCTTTTAAACTTTTGAAAAAAAAAAAAAAACTATAGCGAGTTTATGCATGTCATTAGGCAAGAGGAAGATTCAGCTCAGGACTGTTTACCAAAGCTGTAAATTAATTATATAATATAGAAATTATAATATTTGCTGGCACTGATTCCCCACTGGTCAATGTGCTGTGCGAGTTTGAGTCTCAACTCATGGACCTCTACCACTTCCTGCCAATATTCTGTCAAAAAAGTATGTCTGAATTCATAGAATTCGAAAATCAGTATTCGAGAGGTACCCAGATGACTTACTACTTCCAGCGAGATTCGGAAGTGTGCATCCCATGCACGCTGTGCTATCCCATGATGCGGCACGAGTAAATTCATGAATGGGAGTGAAGCAACGCAACTGACACACGTAGGTCACATGACCATGACAAAATGATGGATGTACTACGTCTGAATTCCATTCATACTTTTCACATTTATACTGTATAGAACATACTTTCTAACAGCCGAGTAGTAGGTTTACATTCAAATGCAGTACCAAGTGAGTAGTAGGCGGTTTCGGACGCAGCCTATAGAATACACAAGACATGTCACTTGTATTGTTTTGAATGGAGAAAAGTTAAACAGTCAATTTGGCTTATAAAGCTCGCATTCTAGTACAGGAGCCAATCGTCAATTGATATATGGCGAATAAATCCTGCCTTCTAGTACAGAACCTAATCATCGATCACTATAGAGTGAAAAAACTCCAGGGGAGGGACTTGGGCTGGACGTAAGATTCTGCAGAACTTATGAGACAGTTGTTGTTTAGTTTTATTAGTGATTCTTAATATGAAATTCAATCATAAGCTTGGCAAGTACCTTTGAAGAATTTGATGTTTCCCTATTCAGACAGAATGCCCGAGCATACCGCCCAAGAGGCATTTTAAAAATGGCCGCCGAATGAAATGACTTGTCTTAAAGGGACTTTGATTCTGTCCAAACATAATAAAAGTCAATAATGTCAAAAATAAATCTTACAAATTAAAAAACAACATCTTTATAATGTTGTAATTAATGTTCAGTTCTATGTACAGACTGATTTTTTGGCTTCATAACAAGAGCTCATTGTACTTGCAGGAGCCACAAGCATTAATTCTATTTTTATGAGTTTATTTCTTTTACTCCCAAAGAATCAGTTGCAGTTGACCAGCATTTTATGATTCAGTAAAGATCTTCGATTTAGCTACAAATTCTCTTTAATGTTCTTCTAAAGAAAAAAGCCATCTGCATTTAAGATTTTTAGCCTGAGGATAAATTAACAGCACATTTGAATTATAGGATGAAAGTCCATATAAATGTTCTCAGTGTTAAATGATGTTAATAATCCGTTTGCAATTGCTGGGAATCATTTGCTTGTCCAGTGTTCCTATTCCACTGGTTTACTGAACAGAGGAAACTTGTTCTGCCTACTTCCTCCATGCAACTCATAATCAAAGGAAGTTCAATGTTGACATTGCTAGTCCCCTGAGGACCACAATGCGGTGCCATGAACCGTTGTAGACTCACCTCACAGTGCATGCTGGGAATGCGACCCCCCTGAGTGTGTTCTGGGCGATAGTACCAAAACAAGCTCATCATCAGCTCCCCTATAAGAGAGAATCCAGTGTTATGAGCTTTTCTGTGACTTTCATTGATGTATTGGATTTAAGAGTGTTAAGAGGAAGGCTTACCTGACTCAGGGTCATCCCAGAAGGCAGAGACTTTGGCCACGTAAGGCAAGGACTTCTTCCTCGGACCTGAGCGCAGTAGCACTGTGTCTCTGACCCTGATAACCTCTCCATCTCTCTGCACTCCTTCATAGCACCGCCGCAGGGATGCCGAGTCCTCAGCCTTCAATCAAAAACACAAGCACATTGCACTTTAAGTTATTAAATTATACGCTTTTTATCATACTCTTTCAGGAATTTGAGGTGTTGAATCCAGCCGAAACAAACCAGGTAGACGGTGGGTTGCTAGAATGACTATTCGTTTCAAATATGGATAACTTTTAACTTGATGCAATAAAATAAACTCAAGCCATTCAAATAAAAAAAATATTTAAAGACATATAATTGTACATGATCACACCAGAGGCGCTTGATAGAAGATAAATGATTCCAATAAAAACTGTCTGCACTAAGCATGGGCCGATATAAGATTCTGATGGTGTGTTAACCTTGGATAATAATATCAGTTTCATGGTACCACAGTATTGTGATTACTGCTCTAAAGTATGTTTTTTTGAATGTCTGGGTAAAAAACAATGTTTGAACACAATATATTTGATTATCAGAAACATTTTAAATATTTGATCAGTAAACATGTCAGGCTAAATAATTCAAATAAATCATTGACTTCTGCTGTCTTAATTAGTTTCTAAACAGATTACTTTACAATTTAAAACAGCATCTTGGATATCTTTTCTGCTGAATATACTGTTGTCAAAAAAACAAAAAAAAAAACGTAAACAAAACATCTTACATATGCCGTAAGAAAGGTATAGCAGAAAATGTCGGTTATTTTAAACCTTGACTTGCTAAACTGCAGTACACCTTGAAAATGGTTATCGTCCCATGCCTAATTTTCAGTCTGTCCACATGCTAATTAAAACACTGCAGTTTAAAAAAATAAAAAAAGTGTGGAAAAAATCACGTTTTCACATCATGTTTTTTTCTTGTGTTAGTTTTGGTCACACTTTATTTTGATGGTCGGTTTTTTTGAATTTAAGTTAAATTGCATCTACATGCCAATTAATTCTCGTTAGATTGTAAGTAGACCATTAGGTTGGTGTTAGGGTTAAGGTTGGGGTTAGTGTAAGTTGACTTGTACTTTCTTATAGTCAGTTAAATGTCTGTTAAAGGAGCAGTATCAACAGATATTAAGCAGACAGTCTAATACTAATATGGACTATCAAAATAAAGCGTTACCCTAGTTTTTTGTGGGCTTAATAAGCTTCAATATTTTTATCACAAATACAGTGAAGTAGCGAAATTAAAATTGTAATTTTAAATATTTGTTTAACATTTTAATGTTTCTTAAAATGTCATTTATTTTTACACTTATACATGCAGGGTTCCAAATAACTCATTCATGTTGTCCCAACACAAATTGATTAAGTTAACTATTAACAATTAAGTGGATTAAACATATAACAATTAAGTTGCTCCCGAAATATCTCAAGAACTGTGTTGTTTAAGCTCATTTTAAATAATTAATTTGAATAAGAAGTAAAAATAGTTTTTTGAGTGTAGGTACTATCTATAAACTCCCCCACAACCGAACCTTAACCTACAGTGCTCAGCGTAATTGAGTACACCCCATTTTGAAAATATTATAAATGGATTGAAATATCCATTTCTCAGTGAATATAGGCAATGTATTTAGGTGCATTCAAACGAAACAGATTAAACAGATATATTTATAAAATAATATAATAAATAATTAATTAAAATTGAAAGATAAGACAATTAAATTCAAGCAAATTATTTAAAAAAATTACAATCAACAAATAAAAAAAACTCTATATTTGTTGCTTTTAAAATGTGTATTTAATATTTTTCTATAACATAAAAATTTGGATGTACTAATTTTTGGACCATTATTGTAAGTTATTTTGTTATACGTGCTCCAGATTTGGCTTCAGTACTGACTAATCTAATGTACTGTATATGCACAAATATAATATTCTAAAGCTTCCTATTAAAAATAGTGATTTAAAAGATAGATTTGTGAGGGGTGTACTTATATATGCTGAGCACAGTATGTGGTTACCTTATATACACAGTACTATCTTAGGCAAGTACATTAAGTACGCATACTTTAAAATAAAGTGCAACCAAAATAGCAATACAGTATCATATCTGACAAGGGCAGGACTAGAGCAGCTCAAAGACTTAATGCATGACTCAGCAGTGTGTTTGATTAAACAGATTTGCAATAAAGATTTAATAATTTCTATTAATTGCAGATTTTTCGGTTCATTAAAAAAAACACTAAAATTGGAAAAAAAAACAGCCTGAATCAAATGTTTAAAAAACACAAGTGCTTATTGTCTGTGGTTTACCCACAGGCTACTGAAAAAGTGCTAAGGAAATATTTATTTCAAAGCACCTCACTGGAATTTAATAATAATGTCCTTTCCGATAAATGTTTACCACTGACATTTTGCAACAGCTGTTCTAAGGAAACGGCCTGGGGCATCATTTTGCCATTTGCCATGAATAAACAGAAACTCTTTCAATGTCTTTCAATGCTCTACATCAAGTTTCTGCCACCTAAATGTCTTTTAAAGAAACTTCCACTATGCCAGTCATGTGTCAGGACGGGGCGGCTGGAGTACGTACCACGATGAACACTTCCTTTTCTGTTGCCACACCAACAGGCAGCCAGCCGTTTGTTGCCCGGCGACGGCTGATCTTAGACTGCTTGGCAGCGCCACTGCCATGGCCTGATCCCAGCTGGCCGTCCTTAATATGGGGGCAAACAGCAGAGTCCCGCACCCCAGAGCGAGAGCCACTGGGCGGCTTGGCTCTCTGAGGACATTCCCGTCCCACTCGAATCTGCACCTGGGATCGCCCAGTGTCAGGAAGAGGCGTCTGGAGGTGGGGCACTGACTGGGTGGGTGGAGGCACACTGGAGATGGGGCAGATGGACAGAGGCAGGGCAGAAGGCATCGTGATGGACGAGCTGCGGTCATCCAGAGGGTAAGAGTAGTCTTCTAGATGGTGGTGGAGGAAGCAGAAAACACCGGTTCATTAAATGCTCAACATGCATTTACAGCCATAAACAAACACCATATTGGATGTAATACAACACAGCAGACTAATGCAGTCATAAATGAGTCAGTGTGCCAGATGCTGTGTGGTCAGATGCAAAGCTAAGAGCTGGAAGCACAATTATACACAACCTTGGGAGGAATGGATTTTTATGACAGGAACTAGAGTATGTATCAAATGTGAAAATGGTGGAACAATTGATTAACACATTGTTGTGTTTAACACACAAACAGCTAAGTTTACATTATTTTTTTTAACTAATTTACCATATGGACAGTTACTGTATTCCAATAAGCCTTATAGTGGCTGAAGAATAAACAAAAGATTAAACTACTTCCGCTGATTCAACCGGATTAATCAACACACGACCACAACAACATATGGTTTTATATATGGAGATTTACTGCTGATTACAGAACCAGCTTTTCTGAAAATTGCACATGACAATATCATGTGATTTATCATGCAGCTCTAACACCTCCTAAGAAGGGTGTTAATGTTAGTGGAAATGACTTGTATAGAACTATATACAGTATGTACTGTACGCTCATTGGAAACAAGGCATAAGATATGCCTTGTCCAAAAACAATGATCTACAGTCCCTGATTGAGACACAATTTAAACTGGGTCATGCACCGGACCAATGATGAACCAATTTAATTATTAACAGCGCTTTATTTCATCACGGTTAATTAATCATAATTAATTAATCCTCAACACAGTGTTTCTGCACAGACCAAAACAGCTGCAACTAAAAGTTATGCCAACTGTGCGCTAGTTTGAAGTTCTGAGTTTATACACCAAGGCTCATACGCACGAACACTGGATTAACTATGGCTGAGACTTTTAACTAAGAGCTGTTTACATATTCATGTTTTGCCTGCGCAAGTTCGTCATTTCATTTCTTGCACGCATATTGGCTCTCGCTTTTCAAGCGCAAAAACCATGATCTACAGTACCTGATTGAAACACAATTTAAAGGGGGTCACACACCAGACTAGGAATGCAACGATTAACCGATTTCACGATTAACCGCACTTTAATTCGTCACAGTAAATTAATCGTAAAGGCTTCAACACCGAGTTTCTGCACGGACCAAAACAGCTGCAACTAAAATTAATGCTAACTGTGCACTAGTTTGAAGTTCCGAGCTTGTACACCAAGTTGCAAGCACACTGGATTAACTATGGCTGAGGCTATTAACTAAGAGCCGTTCACATATTGCATCATTTGCGCGCACAAATTTGTTATTTCTTTTCTTGCATTCATATTGGCTCAGGCTTTTCAGGTGCATCTAGTTGAAAAAAAAATGCCACGGTCGCTCGTTTTTGTGATTGTTTTAGAACTTCCGATTAAGTCGCCTATGGGAGAAATTACTAGAATAAAGAAACAGCAGAAAACGGTCAAACTACTTGCTCTAAAAACAAGTGTTTGCATGACTATACAGACAAAATTTCAATTTCTTTTTAACAGAAAGAAGTTTTTTTCAACCTATTTCTAAACATAATAGATTTAATAACTAATTTCTTTTTTTTTTTGCCATAATGGCAGTAAATAATATTTTACTAGTTTTTTCAAGATACAAGCATTCAGCTTAAAGTGAAATTCAAAGGCTTTAATAGGGTAATTAGGCAAGTCATTGTATAACAGTAGTTTCTTCTACAGACAATGAAAAAATATGCTTAAGGGGGCTAATAATATAAAATCCAGAAGAAAAAATATAGGAAATACTGCAAAAAAAAATCCTTGCTCTTATAAACATTATTTGGCAAATACTTATAAAAAAATTAAAATAAAATATATAAAAAAATCAGAGGACAGATAATAATTATGACTTCAACTGTAATTGTTTTGACTAAACATGATTACAACTATTACCAAAATAATCGTGATTATGATGTTACCCATAATCGAGCAGCCCTAAGACAAATACTATTATTTATTTATACTTACTTTTATTCATAGTTCGGTCATTTATTTTCAGTGTAAAATTATGACTTATGTTTAAATGCCACAACCTTTTAGCACTTATGTTTGAATCCAAAGAGAAATGGACTATTGATTTATTATTATTATTATTATTATTATTATTATTATTATGTGCTGTATTAATTGATTACTGAGCAGCAATAAATAACACTTTAAAATATAAAGAGTTTTCATGTGATTTTCTACACTAGTAGAGTTTTGAAATTAATGAATGTATATTAATCGTGATCATAGTAAATCCGTGATTAGTCCTCAGACTATAATCGTACAACCAAAATCTATAAATCGCTGCATTCAGACAAGTGGACATTGTTGCAGCTCAATTAGTGTAACAGCACCTTCAAAGCACCTTTTAACCTCCTGATCACTTTTAAAAGGGTTTAAAATTACTGCGGATAAAAGAAACGATTTGACGACCTATATTAAGCTGACCAATCTAGAGGTAAGAAAACCATACAAAATGAAGATGGCAGTATCACTGTGAATCTGAACCTTAAAAAGGGAACTAAGTTCAGCAGAAATAGCAAGTGCTGCATGTGTTGTAGGGATCTTTTTATTTATAAACCATTTACCACTAACAGACAGTAAGTGTTTTGACCAATAACTATTGACAGGAAAATGGTTTTAAAAATACCGTATGCAACCATTGTAAAACATTACAAATAAGGCTAAACATCTGTCAGAAAACACTGAAAAGTAAAAAGAATGAAGTGCACTTTTCTCATTAACAACTTTGCATATGGCACATTGGAGAGCAGCTGTGTTATAAAGCTGTTAGAAACTTTTTAAATGTAACCGTTGTTCAGAAAGGAACAAACATGAAGACATAAGCAGCTATTATAAAACAAAACATACAAATTATAATGGTGATATAATTATAATGAGCAGTTTTCTAATTGCTGTGACTCAAGGATGTCATAAGGTTTGTGTGGGCATTTAAAAAAACATGACCAAACTGTGGGCCAAGAGTGGATGAGCCAATCTTGGGAAACCTCCTGTCAATTGCTTATGCAGTTCCCATAGTGATGAGGAAATTTGAGGTGTGAGCCGGTGTGTGTGATGCATTCTTCTAGTAATGCATCAAAAGAGTCGTCTTAAACTCTAAAATCAAGCATTATTTACTCATCTCATGCTGCGCCAAAACTGTACTGCAGCCCATCTTTACTTGTGGCGTGCACACGTTCAACATTCATTCATTGTCCTTCAGATTAGTCTCTTTTTCAGAGGTTGCAACAATGGAATGAACCGCCAACTATTCCAGCAAATGTTTTACACAGCGGATGCCCTTCCAGCCACTACTCAGTACTGGGAAACATCCATACACACTCATTCACACAAACACACTCATACACTACGGCCAAGTAGTTTATTTAATTAACCTTTGAACTGGGGGAAACTAGTGCACCCAGAGGAAGCCCACGCGAACACAGGGAGTTTAAAACTTCACACATAAATGGCAACTGTCTTGGCCGGGACTCAAACCAGCGACTTTCTAGCTGTGAGGTGACAGTGCTAACAACTGAGCCACCATGCCAAACAACATATATTGTATTTTGTTTATCAATACAATTTTAACACGGACTTAATTGGTGCCATTTTGGGGAACTTGACATTCTTTAGTCACAACTACTCAATCCCTCGATTAATAAATCGACTTTTAACTTCAATATTTAACCTTAAAGAATGCTTAAATTCATTACACTATCAGTCATAAGAGAAAAAAATTTAGATTTTGGAAAAATCTTTCAAAGTTGAAAGATGTGGATGAAAAGGCAAACAATAAACCGAAATAATGATACGTTCACCCCTAAACAAAAAAGTCAGCCCAAAAATGTTTTATTTGCATTATTATACCTAAATAGAAGTACCCAAAAGTGCTTTAATATTATCTGTTATTTCTTGCAAAACAATCCATTAAAAACAGCGACATTTATAAAACAATATACAGTGGTTTCTCGCTATAACACGGTTCATCTTACGCAGCCTCGCAGATTTTTTGTGTGCCATTTGACATGCTTTTTTCCTACAGTGGATACAGTTTTTTTTTCTACAGAGGACTTTTATACAGCTTCATTGTGTTCTGCGCCCTGACAGGCTGTAGACCATGTCAATCAATCTCCTCTGTGCAGTGTCTCCTGTACAGTACAGAATGCGTTCAGCTTGCCAAATTTATTTAAATCTGCAAATACTAGCAGTGTTACTGAAGTGCTGAACTGTATGTTTGCAAGTTTTCTCCCCACAATGTCGACAAAACATTCTGCATCATCAAAGGCACCTGCGGTAACACCCAAATAGCAGAGGAACATGCTAACCATACCACAAAAATTTGGACTTCTGGACATGCTAAAGAAAGATAAAAAATTACACAGCTGTAGAGCGCCATTACTGAAGAAATACATGAGGATCAATAGTTTTGATCTTTGGTTTCATTCTATAATACTGGACTTATTTTTCTATGACGGTTTGAACTTTGTGTTTAAACGAGAAAAAAGGGTGAAAATGTTAACGCCTGTCTGAGAAAAGTGTAGTGTAGTGGGGGTTTCTGCACCCCTAAAAAAATCTATAATAATAATTGTAAAAATTAAAGCAGACTACTTTATTACGCAGATTTCACCAATAACGGGTTATTTTTAAAATGTAACTATGAATAACGAGGGACCACTGAACAACAAAAATGTATTATATACATTTTCAGATATAATTGGTTTTTGCATTAGAAATACTACAAGGGGTCATGCATACTAGCAGATTAATCATCACAGAATCATAAAAAAATTTTTAGTTTAGGGCAGCTTTGGAGGTCTATTAACTCTCCATTGAATCTTACATTTTGGGGGTCCTCTTAAACATAACTGGGAATCTAGTAGGCTACAGGGTTTGATCTTTGATCACTTAATGTTGTTAAGTCTTCAATTCATGCAAAGTCAAATTACCCCATGTGACTTAACTGAAA